TCCCTTTTTATGGAACATCTGTCATGAGAGGTAAGCTTGTTTTTGTTTTCCTGTGTTGTTGATATTGAACTTTGTACTTCATTGTGTCGGTGAGCAGTGGTTTCACTGACTGTCACATAAACTATGAACATGGAACCCAACTTATTGTGGTGTAAACATATTGAAATGTTTGTGCTGAAGTCCATGGTTTGGGATGATTTGTCATTACAGCAATGTTAGATCATGGGGATTGTGTACAGTGACATTGGACATGTCTGAATTCTTAAGGTTATGACAGTATGTGGTTTATTAACAATTTGTTGACGGTATACAGCTGGTGTCAGATTTGAGTCCGTTTATGTCTGTGTTGGGGAAAAGGTCATGGTTTTGTACCCATGTTCTGTCCCTTCACATTTCCGCCTTGCTCTTTCACATGTCCAATTTGCCCTTCACATTTCTCTTTGTCCGTCTTCATATTTCCATATTGCCCTTCACATGTCCATTGTGCCCTTTCACTTGTTCTGATTTGTCCCTTCACATCTCTCAATGCCCTTTCACATTTTTGTACCGCTACTTCCTGTTCATTCCTTCACATGCCAATGTTAAACTTGTTACAGATGAAAGAAGTACACAGTTTACAATTTTCAGAATTTTTAAAGAATTTTATGAGACTGAAAGTTATAGTTTATCAAAGGCTCACTTCAAAGTTTACATTTTGACATCACTTATTCAACAATATACTTTAATATTACATTCAATGCAATGATGTAAATGTTCGCATCAAAGCCTCCTATTAGTCCATCATCAGTTGAAGTGAAGTCACCTCTGCACGACACACCATTAATCAGACAGTATTAATTAAAACTGGGACGTAGTAAAATTCTGATTTAAGAATTTCAACGGAGATTTGGGTCCTGATATCAACCTCTAAATAGGTGTAGCAAATCCCTGAAATATGTCAAGTAAGCCAGCTCTATAAATACAGCTATGATTATAAGAATCATTTCGCGAACCTTAATGACAGTCAGTGGCAGTCTCTGTGACCTTGACCTTGACCTTGCTTTAGAGGTACAATACCTTGACTGCTGGCAGGTCCAGGGAGCCCATGACCATGTCTGTCATGTCATGACCTGCAACAACATTTACTCGTGCAAACCCTGGTCCGGATGTGACAACCCGCACGTATCCATGCCGATGTTGGCGCAGTAGCAGACGGCATGTTTGTCAGAGCTTTATGCACATAGTTGCAGCGGATGCCCATGTACAAACAACTTCTTCATGTTCATGTTGCTGTCTTCGCCATGACATCAAAGTTAGAGCACCTCGTTTGGTTCAGTCTTACACAGGTGAAGTGGGGGTTTGTGGGAAACGGGTCAGACATTTTTGTCTTATCGGACGTCTAAATTTGGATGAGTTGGCCTCCACGACTGCTGAGTTTGTTTGCTCTATAATGACAGGCTGTAAATAATTAAGTTTGGTCCAGACAATCCAGTGATTTATATCACTGGGATAAGATAACATGTATCAACCAAGACAGTGAACGTGACAACCAAGTCCATAAACTCAAGAAGTGTTGCCTTCAGATGATATTGATCCGTGGCCACAATGCCCAGAGTGACTAGACAGATGATCAAAAAAAGACCAACTCACTTGTGACATTAATAGCTCTATCTCAGCACAGAATCACGAGGTAGCCTAATGGTTAAAGTGTTCACTCTTTGCATGGAACATGGGTTTGTTTCTCCACGTACCTACAGTGCTCGATGGCATATTTTAGGGTCTTCTTCCATGGTATCACTAGAGGGGCGGTGGGGTAGCCTAGTGGTTAAAGCTTTCGCTCGTCACGCCGAAGACCCAGGTTCGAATCCCCACATGGGTACATTGTGTGAAGCTCATTTCTGGTGTCCCCCGCCATGATATTGCAGGAATATTGCTAAAAGTGGCTTAAAACCAAACTCACTGACTCACTCACTCACAGTGGCCAGGAGCATACAGGGGTGGAAATAACCCATTGCCCGATGCCCGAGTCCAGTGTTTTTTTCTGTCGGGCAAGCAAATTTGTATATCACACTGTACCGGTGTCCAGTTGACTTTCCAATATTAATTATGTTGTGTAATTAAAAAATCAACAAGAAAATGGCCAGTATAGTGGAAAAATATCAGGGCAAGTGATTTTACATGTGCCACTGTGCGGAGCACACCAGCAATTTTAAAGTTATTTACACCCCTGAGCATATCTCACTCCACCACTTTCTTATTCTGTGGAGGTGCTGGGATAGCCTAATGGTTACAGCGTTTGCTCATCACACTGAAGGCCCGAGTTCTATACCCACACGGGTACAATGTGTGAAGCCCATTTCTGGTGTCCCATGCGATAATATTGCTGGAATATTGATGAAAAAGCAGCATAAAACCATACTCACTCACTCACTATTCTGTGATGGTGTGATCTTTGACTGGTGGTTTGTCTGAACCAAGGTGTTTCAGTGATCAAGTAATTCACATGTTACAGTTGAGGCATTAACAGTTGAAATAGGATTGTATTGTGTGGTTTGGGGCTGTATTGTGTTGTGTAAGGATGGGTAGGGTAGGGTTGTATGCGTTGGGTTGGATGGGGTGGGGTTGGGTTGGATGGGGTTGGGTTGGATGGGGTGGGGTTGATTGAGATGTGTACATTAGTGTTGTTTGTGTTGCAGAGTTTACAGTGTGTTTGAAGTGAATATTCCGAAGAATTTTTTTTCTCCAGCAGCCCCAGCTTCAAATTTTAAACCCAACTATACTGGACAAAAATAGTTAGGGATATATGTAAATTTTGAAATCATTAATAATGATCTATTTATTCATTGACACACTGATAAAATATCAATCATAAAAATACCAATATCTCTAACTTATTTTGTCTTGTATATAACCCAGTTTTTCTCTAGTTACATCTGGACCAGACAATCCAGTGACTGACATAACATGACAAAATATATTTGACAATTATGTTTGTCAGTTTGCTTGCCCAAGGCACTTCGAATCCTATAGAAATCCCTGTTGATATACTTTACTGTGAGGGGCGGTGGGGGAGTCTAGTGGTTAAAGCGTTCGCTTGTCATGCTGAAGACCCAGGTTCAATTCCCCACATGGCTCAAATGTGTGAAGCCCATTTCAGGTGTCCCCCGCCGTGATGTTGCTGGAATATTGCTAAAAGCGGCGTAAAACCAAACTCAGTCAGTCTAGTTAGAGCAGGGGTTGTGATGTAAGAACATTTTAAAGCGGGGATTATGGGTACAAGTTGATTCAGTTTCCGGTTTCTGTCGGAATGATATATCTCCTCTGCCACAATATTTTGTTTCACACTTGTTGACAGAAGCCTTGTTTATAAGACGGACATGTCCTGATGTCCCTGTGTATGAACAGTAAATAATAGCACAGGTTGTTTTTACCTCGTCACATTCCCATGTTTACCAATACATGAATCAGCCATTTACACAAGGAACTACTGTTGACTTGCATGCTAGAGCTGCTGTTGTCAGCTTTCGTAAACACTCAATTACAGGTTGTTTTTCATTAATATTAAAGTCATACATCTTGGACTTGAAATGTCCTTGAGCATGCCAAGGTCATGAATTATTATATTTAGCTTAGTTGACATTATTTACATATTGAGATCAATCTTGAAGAACACAAATATAAAAGTCTGAAGTGTCTTTTTTATCTTTTTATCCCACACAACAGCCAGGATAATCGAAACATCACGTGAACAAAGAAGTAAATATTGTCTGGCCTTGGAAGACATGAAATCTTTTCTTCCATATTTTTCTGTTTCACCTTCCTGTCTAAATTAGCAAGTTACACAACTTTGTTGAGCAAAAGACAGAATTATATGATAAAGTATTTTTTTATTTTGAATATCAACATGTCACTTTCTTGTCACCGAAAACCTTATATGGAAATAGTCATTTCCGTATTGTTGAAATGTTTGCTACCATTTTTAATACAATGTTAATATACACTCTTGTGGTGATTGCTTTCATTTATTTCTGAAAATGTGGGTGTGAAGATATGTTAATCTTGTGAAAATATTCTGCTTTGTCTTAAATATATAAAATGGGAATTTACAAGATGCAGTTGTTTGAAACAACCAGACAACATGCACGTACACATTCTCCTGTTATTTTCCTGAAGACTACCTGCAAACCAGCTACCACAACAGTAGCTGTACATGGAGTTAGTTGTGGGAATTTCTCAGAAGTATTTATGTCCCTGCTCTCTTTCACTTTAAACTTATCTGGTGAAATGTAAGTAGAAGTTTGTTTTTGAAGTTGTATTGAAATTGATCAAAAGAAGATAAAAACCACCAATATTTTCATGTGCCAATAGTAAATCTCGCATGCGGCGGATGTGCTATATTCTTCCATTTTTTGCTGTTCTTTAACTTTTTTGAGTAGTATATTATTCAGTGATATTGTTTAATAAGTAATCATTTAAAAGGGACACAGTACTTTTGAGAAAAGCCCGTTGAAAGGTTGTGGGTTTTATTTTATGATTATGACAAATCTGCTATAGGACTTCAGTGCACTTATCTCTGGGTGTACGTGCAGACTGTCAGATTATATTTTCATACAGGTCTGTTGAAACAGATGGCTGTCATTCGTGACCTCATGTGATGAGAACTGTTTCCTGATAATGTTTTTCAGTTTAGAATCTATTTCAAACCATTGAAAATTTGTTCTATGAGTGTGAATAGAAAATACTCAGAGTATGTATGATGCAAAATCATTAAAATATACATTCAAAGTTATTCATCCATAATATATATGATATTTCAGACTATTTGTTTACTGATCAACATCAAGTGTATTCACAAACAGCTTTTAAAGCCATGGTTAATTGAATTGTAATAAGTTACAGTTTTACGACTCAGTCAGTGAATAACAGCCTTTTGTGGATAAAGCACCTGACCCTTTTACGTCTCTGTTTTACCCAAGCTTCTTTTGTTTGTTTTGGTGATGGTAGTTTTCTTTCATTGGCAGGGCCAGCCTCCTAGCTCCCCCCACTGGCAAAAATGGACTGTTCCCGGCTGGGAAGCCGGTCTCTCTCTGATCAATAGCAGTTTGGTAAAAGGCTCGTTCCAATATGGAGATCTGTGGTTGGGATCACGGTCAGAGGATGGACAAAGGGACCTACGCTCTTGTCCCTCCGGCTTGGGATACAATATCGGAATTATACAAACAAGTCATCAAGTTTGTCAGTCATTTTCCCTTCAAAAAACGCCTGGTGCTGTATTTTGTGTTCCGTGGAACCAGTGTGAAGGTTGACCTGGGAGATGGTGAGTATTTGTTGTATAACCTACATACATCCTTCACAGGGTTTCACACCTATCTCACCACCCCTGTCATCGGGGTCAGACGTGCAGCAAACATGAAATCTTCATCACAACATCTGCGCTTAATTGTCATGCAAATATGAATCGAAAGCTTGACACATTACAGAAGTCAGAGTGCAGTGATACATTTTCTTATCCTGTGGCAGTCATTTTGGAAACCTGACACCCAATAAACCCCTGATTAGCAACCTTGCAGATGGATTAGTGATGTAACACAGTGATTAGTAATTAATTATCAGCATAATGCAATCTATGTTGTTGTAGCTTTATCAAATATGCATGATAATTATGGGGCCATGTTAGAATTATTATGCATGTGATATATTGATAAACTTGACATTTAATCAATAAAAACAGTTATTTAACAGTGATTTTATTAATTTGACATGTTTTCTGTTGTAAACACTGAGGTCAATATAACGCCAAAGACAGACAGGAATTTAAGCTATTTTTAGTAACATCCTCCAAGAACCAAAATATTGCTTCCGAGTCTTGGATGTCATGCCTCATATGTAAACATCTACATTCTTGGTGTTAAATGACTTATGTCACTCGCTTCTGAATAACTGATGGTTAAATTGTCTTTCCATAATCCTTGTTATCGGAATACTGGATACAAATTCCTTTGCCACACTCATGACCTTTTCAATGTTAAATGCTTCGAAAACAAGGGTCGAAATATCTTTGATGTTTTCATGTTTTGGAATTGGAAAGCTATGGGTCCTTATTCCCCAGTTGGTGGTTAATTAATTAATTAAGGTAAGGAAGCAGGAAGATCTTGCATGGAATGTCACTTAGGCAGGCAATGACCTTTGCCTTCAGGGATGGGATGGGAGGAAATGTTAGAAATGGCTCTTCAGTGATAAGCGTCAGAGATTCACTAGAATTTTGGCTTTAATTCTATTTTCTTGATACTTTGTGATTTGTTGTCATCAAGATAATAACCTTGGCTGAATGTTTATTTTTGTATGAGAATGTCTGTGATGTTTATATATGTTGTTTCAGAAAATGTTGTTTGATGATGTCATTGTTTCATGTGAGATGGAGTTGACCTAGTTGACTAATGCACAGGTGCTTGTTGATACTACACACAGTGATGTGACAATAACACTCATTCTGTGGCAATGCATTTTTGTTGGATCATTCGACCATGTTTTATGTGCACGGTCACACAATGAAAAATTTGGCATTTGGAATTTATGATTTTAGGGCTAGTATGTTTTTCAGCATGATATTGCTTATACTAACACTGGCAGTAATATCTAGCATATATTTGAGGGGATATTGATGAGGGACATTAATATCTGAAGCATCTATTTGAGGGATATATTGAAGACATTAATATCTACCATATATTTGAGGGATATTGAAGACATTAATATCTACCATATATTTGAGGGATATTGAAGACATTAATATCTACCATCTATTTGAGGGATATTGAAGACATTAATATCTACCATATATTTGAGGGATATTGAAGACATTAATATCTACCATCTATTTGAGGGATATTGAAGACATTAATATCTACCATATATTTGAGGGATATTGAAGACATTAATATCTACCATATATTTGAGGGATATTGAAGACATTAATATCTACCATATATTTGAGGGATATTGAAGACATTAATATCTACCATCTATTTGAGGGATATTGAAGACATTAATATCTACCATATATTTGAGGGATATTGAAGACATTAATATCTACCATCTATTTGAGGGATATTGAAGACATTAATATCTACCATATATTTGTAAAAATGTTTGTGAATGCTGATGGTTTCAAAGTAAATTTCACAATGCCAACATTCAGAATATTACAGTTATTATCAGCATGGTAAAGTGTTCATGCTACAGTTTTGTAAGTCGGCCTTACTGCAGTGGGTAGCCTAGTGGTTAAGGCGTTTGTTCATCCTGATGAAGATCCGGGTTCAATTCCCCACATAAGTAAAATGTTGTAAGCGCATTTCTGGTGTCCTCAGCCATGATATAACTGGAATATTGCTGAATGGTGTAAAACTCTAATAACACACTCACTTAAAGTATGGGAATTACTATTGTTTAAGATTGCCCTGGACCAGACAAACCAGTGATCACAGTCCATTCCATTGGTGGGTAATGAGACATGATAACCAAATTTACAGATCCTGGTGGGGAGTCTGGGTTGGAATTGGTCCTCAGAATGTCTGCATGTCTGTCAAGGCAGGATATATACGTGTGTGTGTGTGTGGGTGCGTGCATGCTGTATCAGTGAGTGTTATCACATATGTGTGATAATCGTGTGTCTATGAGTGATCAAAATACAGCAGTTGATATTGTTTTATTCCACACTAGTCTGTAGAAAGTCAACAACAACATGAAGTGGCAGACAGGATGAGTAATGGTTAACACTGTCAGGGTTTGAGAACGTGCAGTCTGCCTACATCTAATAATACTTCAAAACAAATATTATTCATAAAGAGCCAGGTATTCTGTTAATTAATTGGAAAACAGATCCTGGTATTCTGCCTGAAAGTTCCAAATCTGGAAAATAGAACTCTGACATTCTGTCCAATAATTCCAAGGAAATACATATGATAAGGATCATTATGGTTGTCAGGGAAAATAGACTGTCACACTGACTAAATGTCATCCTGTTATTTAGATACCGTGCCAAGATAATGCTAGGTAGGAAGTGAGATGATATATCCTGTCCCGGAAATAGAATTCAGCTCTCAATATAATCTGTGCATCTCAGCGTATTGTTCTTTCAAAACAGTTCCAAATAACTGTTCAGTTGGCCAAAGTTAATTTGACAGCTTGAGTAGAAAGATTTTGGTGAAATTTGTCAGTAAGTTCTGAGACAAATTTATGTTTGACAGACATTTATTAATCTATATTCAATTAATTGACATGACCTAATTGATATTGTTTGTTTAGATGAGACAAGAATTATTAAACCCAATCGAAGTCGCCCAAATTTATTCCTATAATATAAACGCACCTAATTTGACCCCAAAATCTGAGTACACCGTCCTTTTTTCCAGTAAGATTTATTGTCATTGATTGGAGGGGCGGTGGGGTAGCCTAATGGTTACAGCGTTGGCTCGTCACGCCGAAGACCCGGGTTCGAATCCCCACATGGGCACAATGTGTGAAGCCCATTTCTGGTGTCCCCCGCCGTGATGTTGCTGGAATATTGCTAAAAGCGGCGGCGTAAAACCAAACTCAGTCAGTCAGTCAGTCATTGATTGGAATCACTATTGAATGCGAGGAGAGTGTGAAGCTTTGACAAGTAGGTCAACATCATTACAAAGTTGGCTTTTATGTACATGTACTTGCATATATTAGGCTTATATTGGTCGGGTTAAGCACCTCTTCATCGTAAACATGTCAGTTGCAACATCCCCTACTTCTGTCATATGAACAGCTAACGAGAATTATGGGTTTAGAAGTGACACCTTGTACTTTATGAAGAAATGAATACCTTTGTTGGTCATATAGATGGCACTGGTGACAGTTCCATGTAACTGATTGTTGTGTTGTACCTTTGTTTGAGCTATATACCAGCCTTGTAATGAGAGAGGACTATCAAGTTTGGTTGATGCTGCACATGGCATTATTCAGGTATGTGATGGTGATATTGGGTGGTGGGGCTCAGTTTTTGGTTGCTGCAGCAGTACACATAGTCTCTCGTACAGACCCTGAAGCAAATATATCCAAGAAAGCCCACGCAAGTCTAGAAAATGTGGCAAGTCTAGATTTCCACAGCTGAATGAAGAAAGTCTCAGGGTTCCTTTTCATTATATATATATTTTTTTTTACTCTGAACATTTTTTTTCAGTAAAATATGTTCATTTCAGAGTCTAGATGTTAGTCTACAGTACACACTTAAGTGAGTGAGTGAGTTTGGTTTTATACGACTTTTAGCACTATTCCAGCAATATCACAGCGGGGGACACCAGAAATGTGCTTCCCACATTTGAGCCATGTGGGGAATCGAACCTGGGTCTTTGGCATGATAAGCGAACGCTTTAACCACTAGGCTCCCCACCGCCCCTCACAGTAAAGTACATCAACAGGGGTTTCTATAGGATTCGAAGTCCCTTGGGCAAGCAAACTGACAAACATAATTGTCAAATATATTTTGTCATGTTATGTCAATCATTGGATTGTCTGGTCCAGATGTGATAATTTACGTTCAGCTGTCATATACCTGGAATATTGATGAGTGTGGCGAGAATGTATGGAAAAGGGTGGGGGGAGAATGTATGGAATAGACAGGATGGGGGAAATGTACAAACTGGGGAGAATGTATGGAATAGACAGGATGGGGGAGGGAGAATGTATGGAATAGTAGACAGGATGGGGAGTATGGAATAGACAGGATGGGGAGAATGTATGGAATAGACAGGATGGGGGAGTACATGCGGGGAAGGGAAGAAATGGAAATCTTTTGGTTTCCACTGAACTGTATTATCAGTCATGTACTACTGCTTTAATGTCTATATCGTTTAGTTTTTAGATCTGTTTATAATCCAATTAATAAATGTTTTCTTTCTAACCAGTTTGATGGAACGTCTTGATAAGTGAAATGTATACATATCTACACCCTTTCAACCATTAATTATTTATGGATCATCAATATATTCTGAACTCTAGCAGATAAAAAACAATGAGATCCTTTTTCAAAGTGTTTGCATTGGTCGCTGTGGTCACGATGTTCAGATCGTATACTGCATGATGTTAATCTATTCTGAGCTCATCGCTGACATCAATTGCTATTTCCCACTGATCGTTAATTGAATTACCCAATAGATAAGGACAGGCAACTATTTCAGGAGGACAATTTACGATGCTGGAGGGTTTGTTACCTCTGTAATAATAATCTCAACGTACGATTTGTTCTCAGAACTGATGCATCTTTTCTAATATTAACATTGCTGTATCAGT